AGTGCCTTTGGAGGAGAATTGGAAGCCTCTGAGGCTCTGGGAAAGATCCAGAAAAGACTATGATTGCAGTGACCCAGGCAGGAGAAAGAAGCAAGCAGCATAAGGCGCGAGGCCTTGGATGGCAAGGCATTTTGGAGTGATGGCATGAGTGCCTGGTCTTGTCATTAGGAGCAGCCAGTCACTGAGAGGGCCTGCCTGGTGGGTCATGGATCCCAGAACAAAGAGAAAACATAGGAGAGGACCTAAGAGAGTCAGGAGCTGAGAATACCTTCAGGTATTCCTAGAAAGCTGCTCTTTCCTCACTTGTCAATGTATTGCAGGCTGACCTCAAACTTCTTATGTAATGAAGAATCACCTTGAATTTCTGATCCTCCTGCCACCACCTCCCAAGTGCTGCTACTACGGGGATGTGCACTCCAATCACTTTCTTGGTGACTCGTGGGTCCTAGGATGGGGATAGGAAGGTCCAAAGAACCCCTGAGATTAGCTATGGACTCCAGAGCCAGGTCACCCACACCTGTATGTCCCATTTTGGAGGCATAGCCTAGGGTTGTTCTGTGCTACTCCCTCTGTGGATTAGCTAGCTGCCTTAGCCTGTAGGACTTAACACTACACTGTCTCACCTTGCCATGAAGTTCCATAGATCTCTCCTCCCAGTGCTGGGATGAGGAGGAGTGGGGTTTTGCAAACTGAGAAAAGGAAGGCATACCCTGCTGAAGCAGGGTATTTGTAGATGGAACCTCCTTTCTTAGGTGCACTGTCTTCCTATTCTTACCTTAGAAGCCATTCCCAGGATGCTCTACAGCAGTGGTTCTTGACCTTCCTAATGCTGCAACCCTTTAATACAGTTCCTCATGTTGTTCTGACCCCAACCATACAATTATTTTTGTTGCTTCTTCATAACTGTAATTTTGCTACTGCTGTGAATCCTAATGTAAATATTTTTGGAGATAGAGGTTTGCCAAAGGGGTCACAACCCACAGGTTGAGAACCGCTGCTTTGCAAACTGTAAAAACAGGAAAATGTACATGACTTGCTTAAAGGAGTGGTTCATAACCAGGAGCAAATCTGTGCCACGGGAGACATTTGGCAAGATTTTTGTTTCTTACGAATGAGGGGCAACCTGGGACACCAGGGATGTTTCTAGGACAGTCCCCACAATGAAGTGTTACTCGGTCAATCGTCTCAAGCATGAGAACGCAGCACTTTAAACTTCCTGATCATAGGTGACCTTTTAAGTTGTGCACAAGCTGAAGAGTAAACCTGAACAAAAGAAAATGCTAGATGAGGAGTGATCGAATTATAAATTCCCACCAGGTGGCGCTAGAAGACAAGCAATAATTCGGACTCCACTAGCATTTCCAAGTCCTCTCACCCTTTCCACCCTGTAGAGAATGAGCTGCTTCTTAAACAGAATTCTCATTTTTTTCCCACAGTAATTCTTCCCTTTATCCCTAAGCAGATGGGTCACATGCCATCCATACACTTATGTTGCTCTCTGTGGACAGCATTAATTTCTGCCCTATGGATTAGAAAGTGATCAGGTGATCATTGTTCAACACCACTAACGCTTTTATGCAACTAATTTAAAATAAGCAACAACTAAAATTCAGCCAAGAAGAGAGCTACCTCAATCAGAGATGGGGGATGGAGATCTGCTAGCTAGCCCCCTCCCCCCCCTGCAGACAGGGTTTCTCTGTGTAACAACAGTCTTAGCTGTTCTGGAACTGGCTTTGTAAACCAGGCTCTGCTAGCTTCTTGACTTTGTCTTAAGCTAACTTTTTGCTGGGCACCTTGGCCACCTGAAAGACAGAACATTCCAAAAGTACTTTGTCTTTATGATGGAGGGGTTGTGATGTTCAAACCACGACTGAACAGTCGTTCTGGGAAAATCCTAAGATAATAAGTCTCAGTTGAGAAAGGCTTTGCCCCCGGGGGTGCATTAGGCAATATGTCAGGTCATTTTTTGAGTTGTCACATGTAAGGGATACTATTGGGGTGTAGTAGGTAGAGGACAGACATGCTGCTAGGTATCTTATACAAGGCAGCCCTCAGTACACAGATTAATTCAAATGTGACTAATGCTGAGAAATGCTAACTGGTAAGAGGGGCACTCAAAGGGGTTTCCCTTTCTCCCTCCCACTGAATAGGGAAAAAACGAGCCACTGTAAGTAAACTTGGACTAAGCTGCTAGAGTCAAGATGGAATGAAGATAAAAGACAGGTAGAGGATGAATTTCTCATTCCATGGAGTTGCCACATTACTCAGGACTCTTCAAACTCACTATTGTGAGAGAGAAACCTACTTCTCATCATTTTGAACCACTCATCTAAATTTCTAGAACAAGAGCCATGACCCCAGCTAAGACTCCCAGCAATAGTGGTGAGGCGCCTGAACTGGCCTTCTCCTGTAATCATATTGGTGACTACCCTAATTGTCATCAGAGAGTCTTCATCCAGTAACTGATGGAAACAGATGCAGAGATTCACAGCAAAGCACTGGGCCAAGCTCCAGGAGTCCAGTTAAAGAGAGGGAGGAAGGATTATATGAGCAAGAGGGTCAGGGGTCATGATCATGGCTGTAAAACCCACAGAGACAGCTGACCCGAGCTTCTTGCAGGAGTTCATAGAATCTGGATGGACATCTAGGGAACCTACATGGGACTAACCTAGGCACTCCACATGTGGATGACAGTTGTGTAGCCTGGTCTGTTTATGGAGCCCCTAGCACTGGAATCAGGACCTGTCCCTGGCACATGAGCTAGCTTTTTGCAACCTATTCCCCATGCAGGGATGCCTCTCCCAGCCCTGATGCAGAAGGAAGAGCTTGGTCCTACCTCAACTTGATATGCCATGCTTTGTTGACTCCCGTGGGAGGTCTGCCCCTTTCTGAATGGAGGAGGAGTGAATGGGGGTGGGGTTAGATAGGATGTGGGGAGAGGGGTTGGGAAGAGAGGAGGGAGGGGAACTGTGGTTGGTATGTAAAATAAATGAAAAAATTTTAATCAAAAAGAAAAAAGAGCCAATACAATAGTAATTATTCTAGCTAACAATATAGAATACACATACATACTGGTGTGTATATATGTAGACATCACAGTATTTCAGGAACTGCTCCATTATGAAACAAATTTACTCTAAGTCCACCTTGTTCCACCTTTCCTAAAAGCATCTCACCTCTTTCTCATTATATAACCTTCTTTTCTTTCCTTCTTTTCTTCCCTGAGGTTCCGACTTGTCTGCTTTAGATATACCTGACTTCGCCCAGAAGATGCTCACAGTCCTACAAACACACACATCACAGCCCTTTCTACCTATAGATAACTCATTTCTTGCCTAAATCAAACTGCCTTTGTGCATGTGAATGCCTGTACTGCCCCTTTCTGCAACATATTCTTCATATAACTTACTACAGAATTCCAGGTATGGTAGTAAACAGTTTCCCACCCAGAAAACAGAAGCAAGAAAATGAGGAATTCAAGTTCACCTTCAGCTACCTAGTGAGCTCTATCGAGGCTACATAAGACTCTAAACAAACAAACAAAAACATAATTGCACTTTCATCTACTGTCTATGCTCTCTACCCAACGAATTTTCAATTTTATGAAGTAAAAAACTGTCTTGTTTACCAGTATATATTCAGTAAATAAAATATCACTCTCCATTAGAATCATAATTTATGCCACATAAATCGTTTCACATTCTACCAGACACATTAATAAGGTAAAATATAAAGATGAACTTAATCTTACTTTTATTTAAGAAAAATTCTCCTCCCCTAGGGCAAGGATTTTTTCATGGAACAGAGCTTCAGGTCAGCCTCAGACAAACCTTGCCTCCATCTCCAGAAGCTGGGATTACAGGTATGTCACCATGGCCAGTTTGAAATTGCAGTAGGGCTATAATTCATGGCATTATTCATAGTAGGCAAGCATTCTATCAATTGACCTATATCACTGTCAGGTAGAAGATTGCTTAAAATTTGAGATAGTTAAGCCAGACTTGGTAACACATGCCTTTAAACCCAGCATGGAAGAGGTAGGTAAATATCTGTGAATTCAAGTCAACCTGGGCTACATGGTGCGTTTCAAGCCAATCAAAAGTGAGACTGTCTCAACAACAACTAGATAGTTTATGTTCTCTTTTCAATACTATTTAAAATATACTATGGAATTTACTTTCACACATCAATAACTCTCACATTTTAATATCTCAAAGCCATGTGTGCCTAGAAGCTACAAGGCAATGCAGACACATAGCACACAGTAGGCAGCCAGTATGTATTTGTTAAATATACTTTTATACTACTTTGATTTGTCCATATTACATGAATAATAAGGTAATCATGTCTCACTACTGACGCTGCCTAATTGTCTTACCCTTTCGTTTGGTGTTTAAATTGTTTCCAGTTTTCACTTTTTGGAATAACCGTGTATTAAGCATCTGTACAAATTCGGTTTTCATAGGAAAAAATTCCCACAAGGTAAGGCACATTTTACCAAATAATTCCACTTAGACTTTTGGTATTTGGTTATTTATTTATTTATTATTTATTATTTATTTATTTAGTATTTGGTTATTAAGGACTCTGTACTGCTGATGGTTATAATGACAAAAATTGTTGGTACTTTTTCTTTGTCTGAGGTAGTACACAGTATATCAGGTTAGATACGAGTTAAGGTTGAGAAATAGACTGAGTCAGTTAAATACACAGAGCTCAGATCAGAATCTGTATTTTCAAAGCAGTAGCATTTCCCACCCTCCATTTTAGACAAGTAGGAAGAAAGAGAAGGCTAAAGAAAACAAAAATGGGAGCTAACGGTCCCGCTTCGGCTCTGGCCCCACCCTGGTACCCAATAAGCACTCAGTTCTCGGCCAGGACCGCCCTCCAACCGCCTTCGCCCGCCCTGAGGAGCGAATTCCCTTCCCGCGCCGCCCTCCGGCTCGGTGTAGCCACTGATGCGCGGCGACGTCAGCGGCTAAGGCGGGACTTCCGTCCTTCTGGACCCGAACCGGAAGCGCGCTCCTAGTTGCCCAGGCAACACTTCCCTCCCTCTTCGTATCCGTTCCCCTCACGCCCCCCACCCCTACACCGAGAGCTGGGGCCCACCGCCTGAGATCTGCAAGCTGCGTACCCACGAGGTGACTTCGGGGACTGATGGGTTGCTTTGGGGGAGTGAGGGAATAGCGTGAACCTGATAGCCACAGAAGCCTGGAGTACTGACTTGGCAGTCGCGTTGTGGCACTAATTACCATCATCTGACAGCATGAGGTAGTTGCAGAGAGCCCGTGAGAGTAACTAACAGAATGTTTAAAGAAGCCTAGTTCTAATTTATGCTCTCAACCCCGTCGTGCTTCCTAATCATTGAATGCTCAAGCCCCCCCTCAGACTATTTCAGTCCAAATCTTTAGAAGTGAGGCTCAAACTTGGGAACATTTTTAAAGCTGTAATTCAAATGTGCAGTAAATCACCGTTTTGCAGTAGGTCTATAGGTGAACTTGATTTTGCCTATCCAACCCTAACTCGGGACACATCGCAGCTTTGAGCTCTGTAGGTCAGAGGTCTTAGTGGAAATTATCTTGAGAACATTTGAAAGGCTAGGCTCTGGAGTACTGTCTTGGCAGTCACGTTGTGGCACTAATTACCATCATCTGACAGCACGAGGTAGTTGCAGAAACAAAAATCAACTGTTTTTGTTTGTTTGTTTTTTTTTGTTTTAACCAAAAGCCAGAACATCACTTGAAATCTTTAAACTAAAAGTTAGTAACACAATGCTTCCAGAGTTATTTACTTTCACTATTCCCATGAATTGTGAGGCTGTGATAGTATTTAAAAGTACAATTTATGCTAGCATAATTGGTAAGAATAACAGTCCCTTTAGGATGGCAGTAAGAATAGAAACCATGTGCATATGCTTTGGGTAAACCTAACAGGCAAGTTCACAGTAAAGTATATAATCCCCTCTATTGACTGCTGTACTGGGAAAGTAGACAAACTAAAGCTGCAGAGAGACATTTTTCATTCTAAAACTGTTTTACAGATGGCAGAGAATTAGTTTGTATTTCTTAAAATCCAGCGTTTATGGAGAAGTTAAGATAAGACGGTGGCAGGAAATTAAACATTGCTGGAGTATAGATAGATAACAGAGTTCACAAATACAATGCAAAACTCTCAGAATTCTTTACATTAGGAAATCCACCCATAAAATATTTGGACAAGTGAATACAAACTGTAACTGATTAAGGCCAGATGAATTTAAAATATATTAATGCATTTCAATGTTCTGCTGAGAACATTTGGAGCTTTTTACAGTTTTTTTGAGTTACTTCACCCTTAATAATTTGGGGGACCAGAGGCAAGAGAGAATATTATCAGGATACAACAGACAATCTCAACAATTCCAGTAGCCTCCAAAGGCAGGATATAATACCTGTTATTTTCTCTGGTGGGAGCAAAATGGGAACTCTAAAAGGAATAAATTGTCAGATGTATATCTCCATTATAGGTGCTCAGAGCAAGTACAGTATTCAGAAAAAATAAATTAGCATGGAATTTTTAGGAATATGTTTATAGAAAGAAATGTAAAAATAAGTGTCTGGAAATACAAAAGTGGCTTTTAGTACTTAAACAAAAGATTTTTACTGCTGTACCAACAATTTTGAGTGTGTGCTCTATTCGGCCCCTTTTCTTTCATGGTCACACTAGGATATGTTGTATGAAAGACACATGTCTGGAATGGAACGACCACCATCTGTTTCCTCTTTTCAACTGGATTGTTATTGCCATTCTCTGTTGTCCCCATTTTTAATTCTCCCACTGCCTGTGATGTTCCTGAGTCAGAATATCCTGCCCTTTCATGGCCTCACAGTTCATTTCTTATTGACACTAGCCACATAAGGGTTCAATGGACTTGCAAATAAAATCATTCACAAATGTTTCTCACCCTTGCCGATAACTAAACAATGCCTTTCTGTGGATGGGATGTGATTTGTGGGGGGGGCAGGTCAAGAGTTGTTAATTATACTCCCCATGCCTGCCTTATGAGAACACTGTAAACCTGGGCTAAGAGAGTGAAACAGAATTAAATAATACTTACTTGTCTCTCTCCATTTTCAGCTTTAAAGGTGTCTGTTACAGATAGAAACACGGCGAGATGTATACTTGTAAGCAGGCCCTGTGTCCAGCTAAAGATGGAGTTTGAGGGGCTGACAAGGTGGCTCATTGGGTAAAGGCACTTGTCACCAAACATGACACATCCACACTACACACAATAAACAAATGTTCTTGTTTTAAAAATGGAGCTTGGACTTGTCCCGTGGGTGGAAGTAGCCCATTTGGACTTATGCCATCTTTAATGTCTAAATGACTGAGTAGGGACCATACAGAGCCATAGGAAGAAATCCATGCGGTATCAAGCCTGATGTGCTTGACTAGCTACCATACCAGCTAGGGGTGGCATGGAGACAGCCAGAGTAGGAGGACAGACAACAAACTCAGAAATCGGCATGTTACCATTTTTCCTCATTGAGCTAACTCAGTGTTTGTATGATTGAAAGGCTTCTCCGATGGGGTTAGCATTACATGTTCAGGAAGATTTCTTAGAATCACATGTGACTTAACTACTGTTACTCATGGTGCCTTCATTTACTTTGTTTTAACTCCAGCATACTCCTTTTTGGCAGTGTGTTCTGAGGGTCCTAATTACATCCCCAAACTGTCAGTCTGACTCAGAGCCAAATTAGTCAGGACCTCAATAGGAAAGGGTTGAGCCTCCAGACTGTGGCCACAAAGACTAATTTAATAATTGATTTTGACTATCTTCCTTTGCAAAAGTAAAAGCAAATGAGCTGTCATGTATTTGATTTTCAAAATTGTACAAAAGGGAACAAAAGCAGAAAGAAAATTCATGTTTTGGAGGGAGTTTGTGATCTTTACTCTCTGGTTGTCATGGAACGCCCTACATCCTATATTTTTAAGAATATATATATATATATATATATATATATATATATATATATTTACAAATATAAATGATATATATTAAAAAAAGAAATAGTATATAAATATGCAAGGGAAAGAATACATATTTTCAACAAAGCATTATAGGTGGAGTTTTTTAGTAATTTAGTGGAAATAGTCACATTTTATCTGTGGAAAAATGACAAAGCTCTTGTTCTTCATGAATAGCTATGCATTATAAAACACATCTCTCAGAGCAAGTAGAGTCACTGCAAAACAAGTGGGGGGGGTGTTTGGGGCGGGTTTTTTGTTTGTTTGTTTTTGTTTGTTTCTTTTGTCCTTTTTTGCCTTAGAAAGGCTGTATGGGAAAATATACCATTCAAGACTGGGAGGCTCTGTTGTCCGTAGGCCTCAGCAGTGTTTAGTGAATGACCTCAATGCTGTTGTGGGTTTTTTCCTCCCTTCTTTGGTAGTTGAGAACAATGAATGGTCTCTGTATTCCCCGGAGCTCAGCTGGGTGGTGACCATGATGCCATTGTGTTGGCTGTGGAGGGCTGCCCAGTTTGCAGAGCTGTGGATCCGGCCTTCCCTGACATTGCCAACCCCTTTTCTCTCAGTTCCACCAGCCCTTCAGAAGAAAACTTGTTCAGTCCCTGATGGCTTGTTCCAGAAAGGAGTTGGAGGTTTCTGTGTAGGGAGTGAGGATGAACGATAAAATGGAAGATCTTAAGCCCCGCTGCTCCATACTCTCTTTTCTTGAGATGAGACATGCTGCTGTAATGACTGGGAATGTTGCAGTGTTGGCTTTGCCAGGGATGCCAAGTATTCTTATTAAATCCTTAACCAGCCTAAAAATGTTACCAGACTCATTTGGAGAGGTGGTGGTTTGTGAGGAAGACTGTGTGTTCCTTCGAGGTCTATCTACTCAAAACTCTGTTATACCTGCTTCTTCATGTTGCTGTCTAGCATTGACAAGCTAGCAGTCTGTATCAGAAATCATGGCCCTACCCATGCTCTCTATTGTTGATTAATGCTATTTTATTAGTCTCTTTTGTTGTTGCTTTTTAAAAAATTATTTATTTTTGTTTTGTGTGTATGGGTGTTTTGTCTGCATGGACATAAGTGCACTGCCTTCCTATAGTGCCCAAGGAAGTCAGAAGACATTAGGTCCCCCTGGAGCTGGAGTTACAGATGGTTGTGAAACACTGTATGGGTTCTGGGAATCAAACCCATCCTCTGCAAGAGCAACCAGTGCTCTTAACCCCTGAGCCATTTCTGCAGTCCTTGTTGGGGTTTTTAATTAAGTCTTTAAATGTCTATGAAGAGCTTTAATAAATATTCCAATTTCCTTACTTATTCATGGAAATGTTTTTTTTTTTGCCCCAAATATTAGGAATCACTTACCAAGATTGGAGTCAATTCTAATTTCTTTCTTTCTGCTAGTCCTAAGTAGAGCCTAATAATTCATGAAATATATAAGACATACATAATTCCCCCACTGACTTCAAGTAGAAAGTGAAGAACATGGGATGCTCAATATATAAGGTGTAGAACTTACAAGGTATCATCATATTAACTTAAAACTGTGATCAACAGGGTGCTAGGAATTGAGTTTATGTTTTAAAAGTTTGGGGTGGGGGGCTTGCTTTGTTGGGTGTTTTTTAATGCAAAGATAAACATTATGTAAAAATAATTGTATGTGACCCACAATGCTAAAATACTTCCTATCTGGACCTTTACTGAAAAATGCTAACAGGAAATATGAAGAGTGATACTAGAAATACCGAGCTAATAATTATATATGTAAAGCTTGGTGCAAATTGTTCCTTTTGACTGTTTCTCTGTGCTTTATTTGAACTTGGAAGATTAATTTGTAAGTGCAAATCTCAAAACTCTTCAAAATTATTAATTTGAATATTCATAGGATCTTAGGGGTCCTAAAATGTAAAAGAATATGATAAGTTGATTCAGAAATTTAGGAAGGAGAAGTTACGAAAGACTAAGGTGATATAAGCATTCCTGATATCCAGCCCCAGTAACACTGTACATGCTGAAGGAGGCAGCAATTTGATTTAAGTATTCCAGCAGCCAAAACTCATGGAATTCTTCTTCTATTTGGTATTCAAAACCAAACAAAATTGCTCGCAAAGTTCCTGTAATCCATCATTGACATAAGTTGTATCTTCAAAGTGTCTGGTAGCTGGACCAGGTCTATAACTGTAGAGTACTTGCTTACCTTGCACAATGACCATGGCTCTCTCCTCAGCATGGCTGACAGAATTTAGTATGTTACCTTATGGTATCTTTTAGATGGTGGGACACCAGGTTCAACATGAACCACTTCTGGCTGGGAAGCTGAAAACCAGTTTCTTTAGGTGAACAAAGATGGGTTTCCTGGTGTCTGCCTTGCAGGAATGCTTAGAGGGAGCAGAATATCACTACAACCCTGCTACTTAATTAGTTCTTGAACCCAAATCATACGCAACCTCTGTGCAAAGTAGAACTCTTTTGAAGCCCCTTTTAATCATAGGCATTGACATTTGAGCTGCTGGGAAAATGTCACCAATTACCCTTAAAACACTTCAAGGGTTACCTGCTTTCCCACACTATCTAAACATCTAGCTGTAGGAGAAGAGCCTCAGCTGTCTCATAGATTTTCCGAATATGCTAGTACCTTTAAGGCCAGATTGAATCTTCCCAATTATAAGTCAAAACAAGATTTGGCCTATAATAAATGTTCATTAATAATGAGGTTTATTACATTTGAGCTTATAAGACTTGACCTACTTCTGTAATTTGTAATGCATAGAATGAAGTCTAGATCACAAGCAGTTTGCTTGTTTTTTTTTATTTGTTTTGGTGTTTTTTATTTTTTTATTTGAATTAGAAAGATTATTTTACATGTCAATCCCAGTTCCCTCTCCCTCCCCTCCTCCTCTACCCCCTCCAACTAACACCCTACCTATCCCATACCCTTTCTGCTCCCCAGGGAGGGTGAGGCCTTCCGTAGAGGGTCTTCAGAGTCTGTCATATCCTTTGGGATAGGGCCTAGGCCCACCCCCTTGTGTCTAGGCTCAGAGAGTATCCCTCTATGTGGAAGGAGCTCCTAAAGTCCACCCCTCTATGTGGAATGGGCTGTCAGAGTCCATTCCTATGCTAGGCATAAGTACTGATCCACTACAAGGGGCCCCATAGATTTGACACAGGGTCTACCTGTATATATAGCTTAGGCTGGTCTGGAACTTGCTACTGTAGCTGATGCTGGCCTCAAACTTTCTATTCTCCTACTTCAGACTCATGAGAACTGGGATCACAGGCATGCAGATGTGAAGCTCTTAATTTCCAGAAGACACATGCTGACTCTTGGACTTTTCTTATTTAATTCCTATGCTCTTTGTTAACCTAGAAAACAAGCTTGATTAAAACACACATAGAGTTCACTTTGATGTCATTGTGTGCTGCAGGCAATGAAAGCTCTTCAGGTTTCAGTGATAGAAATATGAAACCTGGCTTTAGTGAATTAGCCACTTACAGACTTCTGTGCAGTTTAGCACTTAGGTGTACACTGATTTCTAAGATAATTGCATTTGCATTTTATTCTGTTGGATGGTAACACACCCAATTACTGACTATTTTCTTTTTCCTCCATAGCCTATAAAGAGCATTAGCTGCTAGCTGTGTTTCCAGGAAATGGACCCTGTTTTAAACATTTAAATTAGAGTTGAAGAGATCAATTCAGCTTACATACTCACTGCATTTGATAACTTTCTCCCAGTTTCTATCCACTGTGTGTGTGTGTGTGTGTGTGTGTGTGTGTGTGTGTGTGTAAGAGAAGTTTGCAGAAGGTCATGTCAACCCTCTTAGCAATGCCCTATTTGAAAGCTTGTTACATTTTAATATGAATGATTCTCTTTAAGACAAATCTGAAAGCAAGGATAGTCAGTGTGACATCTTAGTTTTTTTTAATATACTCATGAAAACATTTCACTGAGGTCACAAAATATGTCAGCTTTGTTTTTTAACAGTTTGGGGTTTTTATAGACTGTCTTCTAGTTAAGAAAGATAAATAGTGCCTCTTTGAGAGCTGATTTCTGAAGTTTCTGAAACCATAATTATCAGTGTTTTTATTTCATATGATCTTAAGATTACATGTATTTTAAGATATTTTTGTTTATTTATCTATTTGTTTGTTTTGAGACAAGATCTCTGTAGTCCATACAGACCTTGACCTCATGGTGATCCTCCTGCCTCAGCCTCCCTAGTGCTGGAATTTCCAGGCATTCACCACCACGCCTGGTGGTAACTATTTTAAGAGTGCTTTCTGGTATTGCCAAACATTTTAGAAACTGTAACCAAGGAGAAGAAATTAACTTTTAATTCTCTGTGTGTGTGTGTGTGTGTGTGTGTGTGTGTGTGTGTACAGGCCAAGGTCAGAGGACAACTTTTGAGAATCTGTCCACTGTGGGTTCCAGATCATCAGTCTTGTGTGACAAGCCCTTCGACCTGCTGAATAGTCTCAACAACCTGAACATTTATTTTCAAGTGGGTTATAAAAGATATTCAGGTGGAACTTAGACATGACTTTTCAGGCAGGGCATTCAGTGAATGAGTAGATGAACACAAGTAGGTAGGTGGCCAGGTAGTAGGAAAGGGAGCAATACTGGCAGAGCAGTGTATTTGGCAAAAGCAGTTAGAACGTGCCATGCCTCTAGAGCCTCCTTCTGCAAGGAAGCAGGGTGATGAGGGAAAGAATATGGTATGTGAAAACGGAGACTGGAGAACTCTCTTGTTTCAAGAGGCTTCTACAAGTCTCAAACTTAAGGCAAGACCTAACAGAGGCTTCCAGTCATTTGGAAAGATGGTGTTCTTCAGGTTGGGCTGGCAAGATGGCCCCGTGGGTCAAGGTGCCTCCTACATACTACCAAGCCTGACAGCCTGAGTCTATCCCACAGAACACAGGAAAAAAGAGAAGTGATTCCTTCACAAGTGACTCACACACACACATGCCGTGGCATACACACCACAGCCATATACATAATAAATAATAAATAAATGTTCAAAAAGAAAAAGACAAACCAAGGTTATTTTAAATAGACATCAGCCTATGCTTAAAAGCAGTAAAGTAATATGTAAGCTTGGAGCAGGTGCCCTGTACGTCATTCTGTATCCACACACTAGTAAGTTATGTGGTTAGTTTTGTAGACTTTTTCTTTCAGTAAACTGGCAGTTGAATATAAAACCAGGCATGGCCCATGACTCAATTATACCTAAGGGCATTGCTCTTCCCTAGACTACGAGATCACAACCCAGGTTAACAGGTTCTTGTTGCATGAAGATCAAGCATGATGCTGGCAAGGGGCAACCTCTTGAGAGCTATTTTGAAAACCATGAAATAGCTGTGACTATCCTATAGCAGTGCTGATCAAATGTTCATACTGTTTGTCTTTCAGCGCCCACTTGGATTTTGCAACCAGAGATAGCAGCAATGGTAAGATTACCAATTTTTCTTATGAATTTTTTAAAGTTAGTCTTCAATGACATTTAGGATGGGGATATAGCTCAGTGGGAGAGCACTTGTCTAGCATGCACAGCACCCCTATGTTCAACCCCTAGCACTCCTTTCCCACCCCAAAAAAATTTTTTGGTGGACGCATTTTATGATGCTGAGCAAAGGAAAAAGAGTTTGAGTATCACAAATCCAAAACACTCAGAGTCCAAAAGTGTTTGTATACCAACACAACAAGCTCAATAGTTCAGATTTTGGGGTAGTACAGATTATGGATTTCCAGTAAAAATGTATGCAGACATTCCAAACGCCACTGAAATCTGAAACACTTCTGACCCCAGCATTTCACACAAGGGATGCTCAGCCTGTCTGGCAGACAACTAAAAGGGAAAGCGCCACCTCATATGTTATTAGAATTATGTCTGAGATATTGAGGAGCAGAGTAAGCCAGCAGATTAGTAGGAGACAAGAAAAGGAACTAGAGGCTGTTGCGGTCATTGGAATTGGCAAGCCATTTCTAACTTGATCTATTACAGATAGCCAAAATGACAACATCAGGACTTTTTTCTTGTCTTATATAAAACAACCAGTAAAGTAGAGAGGGCACTGGTTGGGAAGAACGGCATTAGGAATAGGAGGGGTGAAAGACGATAATGGGCGTGAATAACAACAAAATACATTATGTACAAGTATGAAGATGTCATCATGCAATGGTTATTACATATACTGATAAAAACTCTTACTAGAAATATTAATGAATCAAAGAAGGCTTTTTTAAAGAAAACAATCTTTATTTACATGTGTCGTCAATGTCTTGGCTTATTTTTCTGTTGTGATATAATACTCAGATAAAAGGAACTTAAGGGAGAAAAAAATTTGGCTCCCAGTTCAAAAGTACAGTTCATCATGGCAGTAATATTGCATACACTGTCAGGAGCATGGGGTGACAAATGCATGCTTCTCCATTTATACAGTCTAGAATCCTTGCCAGGAAATGGTGCCACCTACTGGACAGGTCTTCCTGACTCAATTAACACAATCAATATATTCCCCCACAGGCGAATCTGCCTCTCCACTGATTCTAGATCATGTGACCTTATTAACGCTAATCACACTATATAAACCTCCATAACTTTCAGCTATAGTCCTGTGGGTAAATCAGGAAATGTTACATTTGCTCCCTGTTGTGGGTACAGACCTATTTTACACTTCTTATTAAGCTTAGTAGCATCCTTGTGTAAAGTAGGTATTCGGGAGATACTGGTTTGGGGGTTTGAATGAGAAATGTTCCCTATAGGCTCGTGTAATTGAACACTTGATCCCCAGTTGGTGGCACTGTTTGGGGAGGTTATGGGAAAGTGCAGCCTTGCTGGAGAAGTGCATCACTTGGAGTGAGCTTTGAGAGTTTATAGCCTTGTCCCCCTTCCAGTTCACTCTCTCTACTTGAATTTGTGGTTGAAGATATGATCTCTAAGCTTTTTGCTCAGGCTACCATGCCTGCTGCGTGCTGTCATGCCTCCTGGCCTTAATGGACTCTAACCCTCTGAAATTTCAAGCCCCTATTTAATGCTTCCTTCTATAAATTGTCCTTGATCCTGGTATTTGATCACAGTAACAGAAAAGTAACTGCTAACACTCAGGAAATAGCGCTTGGTTGGTTAGTTGGTTAAACATTTGAAGATTCTCTAAAGGATGAACTGTTTGGTGTCTGTCTTATATGTCCATTCCATAGACATCAAAATGGAGAACTACTGCATCTTGGTATTCCCACCCAGTATATGCAAGATACTGGCGACATTATCATCATGCAATGGCTTGGATGCAAAGCCACCAGAGAGCCTACAAAAAGTCCAGGGATTCATATTTCACTTCCCCATGGTTCTCCCCTTATGGAGTTCTTCCCTGGAGCTCTCTTGATTATGAGGCTGGGCATCCTTGGAACTATCAAGGCCAGCACATGGCCTGGCAGGAGTCTCCCTACAATGTTTCACATCTCAAAAGCTCTGGGCAGCCTCTGTATAGCAACAGTAGAACCCAGACATCCGCAAGAGAATATGAAGCCCCGCAGGAAGAGGAAGAGATAGAGTCAGATTCAGATAACGAAGTAGAGTGTGACCTGAGCAATATGGAAATCACCGAGGAGCTCCGCCAGTACTTTGCAGAGACTGAGAGGCACAGAGAAGAGCGACGTAAGTTCAGGCCTGTTACCTTGTATTCTTTTCACTGCCCTCACGTTTGCATCTCTTCTTCTCTAGCATACCAAGTTATTTCAGAACTTTTCTTTTAGGTAGAGTTAATAATCTAAATCTTGTCCTAAGCCCCCCAAAATTATGGTAATGTTGTACCTCAATTACATTGGTCTTTATTTTTATATAGGACTGTTCATTTGAGTTGCTAATAATACCTCTGCCATTTTTTGAGCATCCCTCAACCAGATGGAGAGAGAGAGAGAGAGAGAGAGAGAGAGAGAGAGAGAGAGAGAGAGAGAGAGAGAGAGAGAGAGAGGTGGGGAGAGAGAGAGATGCTTGTGTGCCTCTCTGATCCACACAGCAGTCCCTCAAGACCTAGAACTCATTTTGCAAATGAGAAAAGTGAAGCTTAAGGAGGTTAATTACACAAATACTCATTTGCTGTTCGGATTCAGTTCTTTCAGACTGCACTCTATCCTGCATCTTCTCTGTGTCATGCTTCTCCCTGGCACTACTAGGTTTCCCAAAACGCTTCTCTGAGGCACAGCTCAGAGCTGTTCCTCTATAGCTCCCTGAGGAGTAGAATCAGTGTGAACCTGAACAGAATAACAAAATGCCTCTCATATACAGCTTCCCTGTTTGGTCCACACTAAAAGTTAGAGCGTTGCAATTAAGGTCTTAGAGCTTTGCACTGTACGTTCCAAAGGCAGGAATTTTTCTATTTAAAATTGCCTGTGTTCACTAGACCATTTATTATTGTTATAAATGCCCTTGAAAATTTACAGTATTCGGTCTCAATACACCTTGCAGTAGGGTCTCATTGTGTATTTTACATAGAATTTTCATTTGGTTGGTTGATTGGTTGGGCTTTTGAGCAGTGTTCTATATGGCCCAGGCTAACCTAGAGCTTATGATCCTTCTGCCTCGGCCTCCTGAATATTGGGAGTAAAGATTTGCACCACTGAAGCCCAGAATTTTCTGGTAAACAGAAACGTAGAAGCTTCAAAGTAGGAAAGTCTCATTTCCATTTTAAAATACCTGTGCCCTCTTAACAATAGATTAGCATCTATTGATCCCTAGGGGCTTTGGATGAAGTACTATTTCCATTAGCATCTGCCTGTGATTCTTTACTAAACCCTTTGTTTTGACCAGTTTTCTTCTGATTAAACTGTTGATTTCTTTGACGCATATTAGAAAGTATATCCAGCAGCTAGAAAAATGGCTCAGTGGTTAAGAGCACTGACTGTTTCCAGAGGACCCACGTCCCATTGCCAGCACTAACATGGTAGTTCACAACTCCTTGTAACCCCAGTTCTAGGGTATCTGAATCCTTGTTCTGACTTTCAGGAGCATAAAACATGCACATGGTGTGCAGACATACATGCAGGCAAAACACCCAGGAATATTCAATAAAAATAATAATGAAAAAAGAAAGTATATTCAAACAACTCTATGAAAACAATATTTCATGTTTTGCATAGAATACATTTCTTTTTTATGTTTATTTATTTATTGGGGGGGTGCGGGTCAGAGGACATACTTGCCAGAGTTGGTTCTCTCCTTCCACCATATGGGTCACAGAGATTAAACTCATGTCGTCAGTATTGATATGTACCCTTCCCCACCAGGCCATCTCATGAGGCCCATGGAGTACATTTCTTTCTTTGATCCCTAGAAATAAATTTTAGCTTTTCTAAAACTTCATAGCAAATAATTAGTCTAATTTCAACATATACCACAAATGAAGAGGTAAGGTGCTGGAGCATATTCACATGTACTTGTGAATTACAACATGGGATTTCATAAAATATTACTCCCAAGGAAAGGCATATCGGATGTTTTTGTTTTTGTTTTTGTTTTTTGAGACAGGGTTTCTCTGGGTAGCCTCAGCTCTCCTGGAACTTGTTCTGTAGACTAGGCTGGCCTTGAACTCATAGAGATCCTCCTGACTCTCCCTCCCAAATGCTGGGATTAACAGTGTGGGCTACAACTGCCTGGCTGCATATCTGAATTTTTAAAACTTTAACATTGCAGAAGTAATCAGCCCACAGGAATCTACTGTGAGTTAGTTCATCATCAGTGAGTTGTTCAATACAGTTGTTCAGCCTGGGGACAGCAAGCATGTTCCTGTCTGTGACTTCTACCCTTCCCAATGAATAACATCTTTAAATAATAAAGCACAAAACTTGAAGTAGGATAAGGAACCCTGGAGGGTTTTATGGAGATGGTTCACCTGATAAAGTACTTGTCTCACAAGCATTAAGACCAGGGTTCATATCCCGGTACTGACACAGAAAACTGGCCAGCTGTGGCATCGACGTGTAAGCCAGTATTTGGGAGGCAGAGGTTTGACCTCCAGAGCAAGCTGGCTTTCTAGGGTGGCCTCTCAGGCAGCCCCATGTTCACTAAGAGACCCTGCCTCAATAAAAAAAAATGTTTAAGGTAGAGAGCAATCAAGGGAGACATCCAACACCAACTTCAGGCATCTGCAGGCACTCACATGTACACAAATACTGAAGATATGGCTGTAGCTCAGTGGTATAGTGTAGCCTGGCATGTTCATCCCCAGCATAGCACAATGAAAAAACTCCTTTTGTGTATTGGGAACATCTATGTTTTCCATTATGTTATATGTCATCATTTCCTCTTAACATACTTCCTCAAAGCACTACTTATGAGAAAATACACAGTTGTAACATTTTAAAGGTCAGCTGTAGTTTCAGTTATTAGGAAAAGATGTTTAGCATCCAGAAGGGTAATTTTTAGTCATAAATGGACATCAGTTGAAACTGTATGACTATATCCCTGATACTTAGAAGGAACATGAATGAAAGTTAACATCCCCCATAGGAAAGAAAGCCCTCCAAAACAAATATTGCCCCTGTGGTCTTGGTATTGTGCCAGTCAGTTCTTTATTAGATGTGATTCAAGGGTGGATGTTGGCTCAGAATAAGGACATGTTCTCAGAGAACATGATATTCCTAAGTGAAGTTGAAAGAAAATCCTATTTAAGATGAAGTGTGGAAGAATGTCTGTAGTATACAGTCCACACACAACTACTGACACAAACAAGGGGTAGAGCCAGGTATCCAAGGCAGTGGGAGGGCGACCGTTACCAAGTAGCTGTGGAGAAATGGAGCGTGCTCTGGACTTTGATCAGTACCATCTATTGGGAATGAGAGAAAGGGTAATGTCACTTGGTGCTCAGGCTGCTGTGTTATTTTTGCTAAAGAGCCCATATGTGTTTGTCCATCTCATGGGAAACATGGGCTCCATTATGTTCTGTATACCCCATTCAGGGGGCTTCCACTGTTGTGTTCATAGTGATCAACCCTTTAGTCAGTGCACTGAAAACCTACCACTTTCTCCCCTCAGTCTGTTCTCTAGAAAACTGAGCATATAGCAAGGCTACAAGTCCGATGTTTCCTGAGCTATTCTGGTTCAGGTAATGTGGTTAAGGTATGAAATCATACTGTGCACCATTCCACCGTATGCATTCATCTCATGAGTACAGATGTTCAGAAGAACAAAAAAAGCAACTGTCGAGATGACGGATGTGGAAGGTCAGAAAAAATGGAAGGGGGCTGAGTAAATGCACTTTCCCGGTAAAAGCTAAAATGGTGATTGTCCACTAACTTCAGGGTTACATTTGACGTGGAACAAAGGACACAGAATGGGAAGACCAATCAAATCACTCTGCTTGGCAAGCACCTGTGTTCTGAGTCTGTTGCTGATGAACCAGAAAGCCATTCTTGATATATTCAAGTTTGTACTGTCCCTTGGTTGTGTTATCATCATTAACTCTGGCAACATAGCAGAAAATCTCATCAGAAAGACATGCTAATCCTAGAAAAATGAGGGAAATAACAATCTTTAACACTCATTATAGTAGTGCTTTGTCGCTCAAACTGTTCTGCTCTTAAGCTAATTATCTGTGGAATATTGAATGAGTGTTTTCCTGCTGTGTAAAATTTCCCTAAAGTCCGAATGGCTTCCTGTGATTATTTTTTCCCATTATGGGTTGTAATTCTACATTAGTAATATCTCTTTTTTAAGCCATGTTTAATTATGTGGCAGGGTGGGGAAGGTATAGGAGTGTTAGTACAATTCCTATAGAGGCCAGAGGAGCCTGGAATTCTTGGCAGTTGTAAGTCCCCTGCATGGGTGCTAGAAACCAAACCTGGATCTTCTGCATGAGCAGTCTGACCTCTTAACCACTGAGCCATCTTTCCAGGCTCTTATAGACTGAGGCAGAAGTATGTCAAAACCATGTACCCTGAACTTAGATGGAATCCAGCAATATTTTTCCTTTAAAATATATTACTGATTGGAGGTGGGGTGTGTTTATTTTAACCCCAAATGAAAATCCTTGTATTCGCTCTGTAGGGTTGCTGCAGCAAATAACAGCAGATATCATGGTCAAATGGCAGAGGTTTATCTTTTCAAATTCAAACTCAAGGTTCCCTCAGGACTGCCTTCATGTAAAGGCTCTAAAGCCTTGCTTCCCGCAGCTTCTGGTATCTCCCAGCATCCCTTCACTTGAAGCAATGTCAGAGGATGTCTGTACCTCTGTGTATTCCCTGTGTGTCTCTGTGTCCTTTTCTGTCTCGTATAAAGTCACTCTCATTTGATTTAGGGTCTGCCCTAATCTAGTATAATCTCATCATTATCTTTAACTGTCTGCAAAAAAACCCTCTTTTCAAGTCAGCTCCCATTTTGATGCTCTGGTGGTAAGGCCCTGGTGCTCAGCTTGCTTCAGCCCTGTGTTGAAGCTGGAATGGATCTGAAGTGCTGTTTTGGTTTGAAGTTAGTAAATCCCCTTGGCCAAATACCCCTAAGTTAGTTAGACTTTTCGTGGCTGTGACAGAATACCTGTCAACCAGGAAGGGAAGATTGATTTTTGGCTCAGAGTTTCAGAAGTTTTAATCCAAGATCAATCGGATGGAATCATGGCAGAACAGGAGGTAGTGGGAGCTTGTGGTGGGAGCAGAGGGAGCTGCCTATGCTGATGGACTTCCTCCTGCTAATCCTTTTATTCTCTCTGGGCCCAGCCACATTCATGACAGACCTTTCTTCCTTGGTTGATCATGTAGAAAAACACTCCTACACACATGCAGAGGTGTGCTTTACTATATATATCCTGTGTGTCCCTCAGTGTGGTCATATTGTTAATCAAGACTCGATATTACAACCCTATGAGAAAAAATGCTCAGAACCATTGAGTGCTAGCACGGCTTGCAATTTGAAGAGGACCCAATCTGTTACCTGTGCAAGGCAGCTATTCAGTTGTGCCTCTGGTGTGATGTTGATGGTACTCTGCTTCAGTTGGATGATTCACTATCCAGTTGGCTGAGCCCTTACCTTACCTTGACAAAGAAAATGTGGAGGGTTAAGGATCCTTCTTTCCTTGGGAGAGAGGAAGAGAGCCATGAATAATAAACAGACTGAGTAGAGGCCTTCAAGCTCATTGTATCATACAGTTCTTGGTTCTCTAAGTCAGTATATTATAAATCAGTGGTTCTCAACCTTCCTAATGCTGTGACCCTTTAATACAGTTCCTCGTGTTGTAGTGGCCTCCAACCATACAATTATTTTCGTTGCTACGTCATAATTGTAGTTTTGCTCCTATTATGAATCATAATGTAAATATCTGTGTTTTCAGATGGTCTTAGGTGACCCCTATGAAAGGGTCTTTTGACCTCAGGGGTCATGGCTTACAGATTGAGAACCACCATTTGTTCAGATACAAGCTGATCTTAAGTACACAGCCTGCTGACCAGAGACTATTTGATTTTGAATTACATTGTTGAGTCTAAGATATAGCTCAGTTGGTAAAATGCTTGCCTAGCCTGCCCAGAGCCTGCAGTTCCATCCTCAGCACTGTCTAAACCGGGCATGATGGAACTCTACTATAATCCCACACCTCAGAGGTGCAGACCATAAGATAAGAAGTTCGAGGTCACCTTGACTGCATAGCCAGCCCCAGCTAAGCGAAGATCCCAGTGCTTGTTACACACTGTGTGTGTCTCACCAGGCAATCTAAGCTTACTTCAGAGTTCTGCCAGAACAACCAGAGGTGACTGAATCCAGGACTGTGGTGGAGAGGGGAAGGGGGGAAGCCCAGGGTCCCAAACTGGGCTTCCACCCAAGCTCGCCCATCAAAGGCACAGGGAACTATAGCAATAAGAAGCAGACAGAGAACCGTCAGGTGCTTCTCCCTGACTCGGTTTTTTATTTTTGTTCTCCCAATAGAAGTGAGGTCAGAGGTGAAATGGCCATTTCCCCTGGCTAAGTGGGGCCCAGTTCATTAACATCACACTCCTCTACCAGAACTCAGGGTTAGAGGTATAGAGCAGCGAAAATAGTAATGTCTGAAACTTGACACAAAGACCAAAGTCTTGAAGTAAATTCTTGGTGACCTCCAGTTCACTTGTGCATTAGGCCCATTTTGTGCATCTCCTGGTATAGATCAATATACATCTCTTTTTCTGTGGCTTCGCAGTCTTTTGCCTTAGTATATATTACTCCCACACGTGACAGTAAAATGCAGCTGTTCTAAGACAACAGTGGCCGAATATGTGTGCCGCATAGCCATTTTTATTTATTTATATGTCTGTCTATGTGAGTGCCAAATGTGTGGACGTGCTCTCAGAGTACCAGATCCTTGGGAGCTCCAGTTACAGGTGAGTGTGAGCTGCCCAACTTGGGTGCCGGAATGAAATGTGTGTCCTCTGCCACAGCGCTATGTGCTCCATGGGGTCTCCTTATGCAGTTCTGGCTGTCCTGAACTCACAATGTAGACCAGTCTGCTGTGGAACTCACAGCTGTCCGCCTGCTTCTGCCTCCAGAGTGCTAGCATTAAAGGTGTGTGCCGTCAGGTCTAGCTATATCTATTCTTAATAATGGTTCCAAGTCACCAACTCCAAGGTGTTAGTATAAAGAACTGGATTTACAAGGGTGACTGAGAATAGCTATATAAATGTCTTCCCGTCACACTTGATTAGCTCACTGCTGTCTTCCCTTCCAGATACTAGCAGAGAATGGCCCAGCAAAGGAAGAATGATTTATTCCATTGTTTTATTCCCCTCCAGCCATCTTGACTCCTTATCTTGAGGCATTCCTCTTGGTAACAATAGCAGCTACAGATAATGTGCATTCTGCTATCAATTTCCCTCTTGACACAGTCACTTGCAAAAACCTGTGTGAGCCGGCTCCATTTTACCCTCTGCAGCCTTGCTTTGTTGACACTTTTATGTGCCTATTTACATAGGAATCGAATTGTACTATTGGGACTTGATGTGGTTTAAACAAAAGTAGAAAGGGAGGAAACAAATTCAACACATGCTTACTTGACAGGGACTTACTAAATTAGTAGACCCGCAGGTTTCACCTGGGCTGAGCTGTGAAGGGACAAGTGAAAGCCCACCCCGGGAAAAGCAGATTCCTTATGTAGCAGATTCATTATGTGGCAGGAAGACCCTGAGTCAGCCGCAGAGGGGTCACCCCACATACGTACCTCATTTGTGGGAGTTAGAGCTGCTTCTTGGGGGCTTGAGTAGACAGCTCTGTATAAAGCACTAGTGTGAGGACCGGAATTAGGATCCCAGCACCTAAAACGTCAGGGGTGCATGGCAGGCCACCTGTAATCCCGGCACTTGAGAAATGGAGGCTAGGTCCCAGGAGCAAGCTGGCAAGCAGACTAACTGCATCAGTGAGCTCTGTGTTCAAATGACTGAGCCTGCCTCAATATAGAAAGTGGACAGTCATTGAGGAAGACTCCTGACATCAACCTCTGACTTCCATGCTCACAAGTATGCACACACACAAGCACACCACGCGCATGTACAAAAGGAAAAAAAGAAACTGGGGCTGGTGGAACAGCTCAGTGGAGATGTGCACATGCTGCCAAGCCTGATAAGCAGAGTTTGATCCCCAGGACTCACATAGTGGAAGAAGAGAACTGACTCCCTAGAGTTGTCCCCTGAGCTCCACACATGGGCCAAAGCACAATGTGCATACACCCCCAGATCAATGGAATTTTTAGAGATACGCTTCTTGAAACACTGAACTTGGAAGGAAACATTTCCCTCTCGTGGGGAGCGTTGCATGAAAGCAAGCAAGGACTTCATGGCTCTGCAGATGGCAAGAGAAAGCCATGTGTTTTTTGTTTTTCTCTGTTTTCAAGGTCTGCTGTAGAGGATTGATGAATTGGAATAATGGGTTTCTTGGTGGCATTTGCCCATTTCTGTCAGTGGCTAGTGGCCCCTAAGAAGTGAGCAGTGAGCTTCATGACTACGAATAGATAAGGAGGATCGTTGGGTCATGCCTCAGGATCTAAAGATTACCTCAGCTGCCCAACAGGATCCAAATTTGCCATTGGAAAGAGCAACAGAAGGGCCTTAGGGAACACGGGCAGCATGTGGGTTGTAGCAGCATCTGAATTTCAATAGCAGTAGTGGCAGCATTCATCAGATCCTCTCCTGTATGTGCATACGTTTTATGGTCATGGTCTTATCCATTCCCAGGGCGACAGCAGCAACTAGATGCAGAGCGCCTGGATGACTATGTGAATGCTGACCATGGCCTGTACTACAACCACCACCGGTCCGTGGAGCCCCCCTCTGAGAAGCCTGGGGAACGGCGTCAAGCCGAGATGAAGCGCCTGTATGGGGACAGTGCTCCCAAGATCCTGGCCATGGAGGCTGCTGTGCAACTGAGCTTTGACAAGTACTGTGACAAAAAGCAGCCGAAATACTGGCCTGTCATTCCCCTGAAGTTCTGACGCCGGCACACAGGAACCCTAGGGAATGCCTCCTGAACATGGTCTGGCCTTTCCCTCTTTCTTTTGGGTGTGTTCTCTTCCTCCTGGATATTTTTCAGAGAAAGAGGCCTGTGTACCAATACAATCTGTCAGCCACTTTTTATTCTCCATCAACAGGAGGTACCCTATTGCCAACACAAGGAATGTCCCCTTGACATAAAGTGATAACCGTGTATATTGTTTTGGCTCTTAATACGTTCTCTAATAGAGTCCACTTCACTGAAATTCTTGCCTAGGGATACTATCTAGTGTTTTGCATTTGTAATTTCCTTCTTTAACGTTCCTAGATGTCACAAAAGCCTTAAGCCACGTCATTCTCTTTTTTAGACCAGTTCTCATATAGCACAAGCTAGCCTCAAGCTCTTTGGGGGGGATTTTTTTTAGAGACAGGGTTTCTCTATGGCTTTGAAGCCTATCCTGGCACTCGCTCTGTAGACCAGAATGGTCTTGAACTCACAGAGATCCGCCTGCCTCTGCCTCTGCCTCCCGAGTGCTGGGATTAAAGGCGTGCACCACCACCACCCGGCTAGCCTCAAACTCTTAAACCCTCCTGTTTCCACCTCCCAAATGCTAGCTTACAGGTGTGCACCCCATTCTGGGCTCTAATCCACATACATATTCTCTCTGCCTGTAACCATTTGGATCCCTCTGAAAATGATGCAACTGTACAGTAAGACAAATGTCACTTGTCACTCAGCTAGGTTATTAGCCTGCATGCTCTATAAAAGGCCTGAGAGTAAATACTTTGGTCTTGGCAGGCCATGTAGTCTGTCTTGTAACTGTCTAACCCTGACTTTTATAGCATAAAAACAGCCATATGTACTGAGTAAACAAATGGATAGGACTGTGTTCCAATAAAACTTTATTTGTAAAATGCAGGCCATGGACTATCCCAGTTTACCATGTTCAGTTGGCATTGTACAGAAATTAACAGCCATATTGGTCTAGAAATGTTGAAATTAATTTTTTTCCATTTGTACAGGGGTAATGTACTGTATTAAATATGTAAGGTCTTATCTACATGGGTTTGGTTACAAAAAACTAATAAAGTATTCTCTAAATAAAAAAAAAATACAGGCCATGGACTAGATTTTATCTACAACTGTTGGTATAACAGTGAAAATCAGCCATCAGACATTATTGTTATTTCATTTTCTGTCCAGAGCTTGGATGTCAAACAGAAGTGGTTGCAAAGAACAGTAATCCCCAAATCTGGTCACTTTTGCAGCCTCAAAATGCACAGTTGAGTTCTTATTGCATATAGTAAATAACAATTTGATAAGCAAATACATCTGTGAGAAGAAAATCTAAACACTGATGGAGAAGTCCATTTATAGAAGCCAGCTGCTTTTTAAGTAAGTTATTACAGTGCATTGCTGGGGTGAGCCTGTGTTGACCTGAGAAGATTAGCACATCCATCACAGGTTGGTGAAAAGATTTTGTATTGACATGTTTCTCCCTAGGAACACATTTACCTTCCATCCAGCCCCTGCCCTGAGACAAACACATTCCTTTCAGCAGCCCCAGGTGTTTATTTGTTCCAAGCTCTCATTTTATTACTGGCATTGCAATTTGTGCTTAGGTACTGTGGACAAAAATCAGAATTCACTTGCCCCCAAGGTGACACATGACTAAAATTTTCAATGTTTGGTCTTTCTCCTTTTTCTTAGAAACTCTAATGTCTAAATGATCAAATTAATATGACTCAGATACAAACAAGCCAAAGCCTGTCTCAGCAGCAAGTGCTTAGCTGAGAGTCCAGTTTTTTATCCCTGCCTCAGAGATGCTGCCATGCCACCCCACCACTGCTGGCTTTGTTTCCTTCCTCTCTCCGTGCTTCTCTTTCCTCTTTGAAATGAGTGGTAATGATTTCTCTTCACTGCTCTTGCGAAGACCATTGAGCAGGACCTATAAAACACACTGTTGAGCGCACAGTAAATAGTCAATGTTTATATTATAGTCACTCTTTTTTAAATGCCATAAAATGTCAAGGAGGGGTTGATAGGGGGTGCTCTTATGTATGCTGTGAGTATATGTTTCTCTTATTTGTTGATGAATAAAGCTGTTTTGGACAGGCAGGATTTAGCCAGGTGGGAAATCCAAACAGGGATAGAGAAAGTTAGTAGGCAGAGTCGAGGAGATACCATGTAGCTACAGGGAAGGTAGGAAGCTTGGGCATTCTCTGGTAAGCCAAGACTACATGGAGATATATATAGATTAATAGAAATGGGTTAGTAACTAAAAGAGAGCTAGCCAATAAGAAGCCTGAGCCATCAGCCAAACAGTTTATAATTAATATAAGCCTCTGTGTATTTATTTGGGACTAAATGGCTGCCGGACCAGGCGAGACAGAAACTTCCGTCAACAGGGGGTCCAGAATATAAAACTTCCAAATATAGAGAAATCTTTCCCTGTCCACTCAAGCTTCTGGATACCTCATGCCCAGCTGTAATTTGTATCTAAGATAATTGGTGATAGAGTGCACCCATTGCTTATCCATTTCTCAGCAAATAACTATTGAATATATTGAGTATACTTTCCAATTAGCTACACCATAGTCCCTTCCCTTAGGGAAATTGTATTCTAGGCAGGGACACAAATGGCACCATGTTAATTACTGCATGTATGCACTGCTAGAGGCATCTATCTATAAAAGCAGGAGAGAGAGCTTAGGGCAAGGCAGTGGCAATATTTTTGCCATAGTAAACTATGTCCATATTCAGGTTGGGACAAGAGGAAGATTTAGGTCAAAAGTGGAGGGTCAAGTCAGACATTTTGAAACACTATCCTCTACCACAATGACTAATAACCAAAGTGTGCCAAAGGTAAAGAAACAGTTGCTTTATAGAGGTTGATATAAGGGATTCCATTTTGATGCTGACAGTTTTAGTTGCATGCTTGTTTCTGCTAGCAGCGAGCTCCCAAACTGAGTCCATCCTAGAGCCTACCAAGAGTTGTTTCATTAGATCAAGAGATGATCTTGTGCTGGAAATTCCAAGGGATTTAAGAACTCTATACCATGAAGATCAAAGGCCAAGCATTAGAATTAATATTCTCCTAGAGCCAATTTCTACCAAAGTTTCATGATTGTATTTGAGAACCAGGTGCAGAGACTAATACATATTGCATATCATACCACAGGGCTAGATATGTAACTCAGTTGTGAGATTGCTTGCCTAGCATGCATGAAGCCCTGGGTCCTATCCCAAACACTCTATAAACAAGGTGTGGTAGTGTGCACCTGTAACCCCAGCACTTAGGCGGTAAAGGAGGAGGATCAGGAGTTCAAGGTTATTGTCCACTACATAATAAGTGTGAAACAAGCTGTCTATATGAAGCCTTAGCCAATAATTTATGGAAACATGGAGAGTCATTACAAGCCCATTATGAATTAATCTCACTGCTAATCAGAACCATGATAATTAAAATAGAATAACATTCCATACCTTTCAGATAGGCAAATATATGCCCAGGCAGTAGAGAGTTGGGAACTCACACAAGGAGTATAGGACCATGTACCTATTACTGCTATGATGAAACAGCATGACCAAAAGCAAGTTGGGGAAGAAAGAATTTATTTAGCTTTCTTAGTTCATCACTGAAGGGAATCAGGATAGGAACTTGGGACCTGGGGATAGAAGCTGATGCAGAAGAATGGAGCAATGCTGCTTATTGACTTGTTCCTCATGGCTTGCTCAGCCTGTTTTTATAGAACCCAGGACCACCATCCCAGGAGTGGCACCACCCACAATGGGCTAGGCCCTCCGCCATCAATAACTAATTGAGAAAATGCCTACAGCCAGGCTGTGGTGGCACATGCCTTTAATCCCATCACTCAGGAGGCAGAGAAAGGCAGATCTCTGTGAGTTTAAGGCCATCCTGGTCTACAGAGTGAGTTCCAGAACATCCAGGGCTACACAGAGAACCCTGTCTCAAAAAAGCAAACAGTAAGGAGGGAGGGAGGGAGGGAAGGAGAGAGAGAGAATGCCCTATGGGCTTCCCTGCATCCTGATATTATGGGGGCATTTTCTCAATTGAGGCTCCCTCTTCTCTAGTGACCAAAACGTGTGTTGACATAAAAGTAACCAGCACATCCTGGTAGACTTTTTTTAAATTTTATATTTAATTTTGTGGGGGTTTGTGGCTGAGTTTCGTGTAGCCCAGTCTGACATCAAATTTGCTATGGATCCGAGGATGACCTTAAACTTCTGATCTTCCTGCCTTTATCTCTTGCATCCAGATCATTTTTCAGCCCTGAGATTAGTCAGATGTTTATGGTCTAGAACACAACCAAAAGTCTCTGCATAAAGATGGGCTTTGGGACTTTAGCTGCAGGTGGGGAAGGACCAGAGTGCTAGATATCACTTAGGGTTGCTCTGCTGAAAACTGTAAATTCTGTTGTGGTGGTGCATGCCTTAAACCTCAGCACTGGGGAGGCAGAGAAAGGTGAATCTCTGACTTCAAGGCCAACCTGGTCTACATAGTGAGTTCCAGGATAGCCAGGGGTATGTAGAGAGATCCTGTCTCAAAAAGCAACAACAACAACAACAATAATAATAATAATAATAATAGTAATAATAATAGAAAATGAGCAGGAGATCTTAGTAATAAGGGAACAGAGTGGGAAGTAGATAGAGCTGGAGAGGGTTAGCCTTAGGCACTGAAGGAAAAAGCCCACGTATTAGGGACATTGACACAGATCTCTGAGATGGTGTGGTAGTACTTCCTAGTCTGAGGTACTTGTCCAATTCCTTTACATGGCAATGGAGGATTTGGCAGATATGATAAAGCGAAAGATCTCATGAAGGAAGGGATGATCCTGTATTTTCTGCATGTGCTGTGTCATCACAAGGATCTTTACAATTAGGAAGGCTGGTGGGTTGGAGTGAAAAAAATGAACATTAGAAGCAGAAGTCTAAGACATGACTGGGAAGAGTGAAAGACAGCTGCCTGCAGCCTCCAGAAATTAGATGTCAAGAAAATGGATTCTCCCCCAAGAGCTTCTAGAAGAAATGAATCTCTTCATATGCCTTGATTTTACCCTGTGAGACTCAATGCAGACTTCTGCCCTCAGGAAGTGTAAGAGTATATATCTGTGTGGCTTAAGCCATTGCATTTGTGGTAATCTATCAGAAAAGTGAAACAGGAAACTGAGATGGGATACGTGATTGATCGGTGATGCTGTGTGCTGAG